CGTAACCCTGTGCTGAACCCCAACCAGCAACAGAGAGCAATGGGGTCTTTGGCTGCACCTCAGGGTGCAGATGGGCAGGTGTCCGTGCTCCTTCACCCTGGCAGCACTCCACTCTCAGTCCATTCCTGCCTTCCCAGTTGCAGCCTGGCTGCTATTCGCACCTCTGCTGTGTCCATGCACTGATGCTGGGGTGCAGGCACCAGCGTGATACTTTGGAGGAGGTCTGAGTGGAACATAAATGAGGCCTCCAGCTGTGTGCAGGGGCTGCTGCAGGCACTGTCCTTCAAGCAGTCCCCTGCCTGTGGTCCTGGGGAGCTCCCTGCGCACGCCCATGCCTTGGGCCTCACCAGAAGGGTCACGACTGCCAGCCAAGGCAAGCGGTACCCAACGGGCATGGTGTCCGCAGGAGCTGCTGCTCGGCTCCCCCCCGGGGGAGCTGCGCCTGGGCCCCTCTGGTTTAGCCTCTAGGGAGAGGCCAGCCAGGGCAGAGCCACTGCAAGCCCCAGCACAGAATTAGATGTAGGCTTTGTGAGAAAATACTGAGGGAAGGAGAAAGCCAGTTCCTGTATCCCCACTCAAGCCACTAAAGGCATTTAATAGATTTAAATTACTTATCCATAATATTATGTTCTTTTTGAAAAAAATTGTACCCAGATAGTAAGAAGATATTTTGAGATGCTTTTAAAAAAAATTTATTGTCCACTATTTGTAATATGCCAGTAGCCACTGCACATAAAGGAAGCATTTAGAATAACACACACATATACATATATATACACAAATAATAAATATTCTAGTTGTGACATTTTAAGATTGATGAGACTTCCTCTTATGTTACTGGTAAATAGACCTTCTGAAAATGAGAATGCTATTGTGAATGAGGGATTACTATACTAATTCTATTCTAATAAGTAAAAAGATAAAATATTTTTATGATATTAAATAATTTACATACCATACACATCTCAGTATGTATTATATTCTAATAAGTAAAGGGATCAGATTAATATTGAATATGCCAGTATCAGTCACTGTTCATGTTCCCATGAAAACACATCTCTGTAAAAAGCAAACACTAAACAGAATAAGCCTATAGTTAAAGGATTTTAATTTCAAGGTTCTGCAAACTGTAAAGTTCAAGATAAATGCATTGAGCTGAATATCTTAGCTAAGTTCACATAAACTTCTTGAATATCTTTTCACAACTACAGAGCAAAGGCATTTGAATAACAACAATAATAATAATTATCAGTAGCTACAAGTAATTCCAATTTGCACTATATAATCTCATACTTATTGTGAGGGTTTTCCCAGGTCAAAGCTCTTTCTACTCCTCCACCTTAGCAATTTGATAAAGTTAAGACTTGCACTGAAGATTTTGTCATGATGAAAAACCATTTTGTAGAATATATCAATGGGTAGATCTCCATTTGGATCTGCATATTTCAGGGTTGTCATTGGTGTATACAAGGTGTTGGTCTGATGGCGAAAAGGTGGATTTTCTGCAAGAATTATCTTTACTGTATGCTGTCAAGAATGAGAAATAGAATTGTTAAAGAACATTTACCAAAATAATAAGTAAAAAATGAGTTTTCAGTTAAGCAGAGGAAAAGTGGAAGAACAAAGAGCTAGAATTATGTAAAACTCTGTATGTAGTTTTATTAGAATTTTGTTAGAAATTTTTCTTAAAATATCTTTAAGGCCATAAGAAGTACTTTTTATTTATTCTTAGACCTATTTTTTGTTTATCTATACCATGGTGATAGCACCTTACACCTAAGTATCCTGAATAGTCCTCCAAAATTATACCTATGTGTCCACAATAGACAAATCTTTTCTTTTACAGTTCACTGGGAAAGGATCAGAACAGTACACTTTGCAGCAAGATCTGGGAACCTTCAGTTGACACTGAAGCTAATCCTTAGCAGTAAGCACCTGAAATCATGGTCCCCTCCCACAGCTTGCCAAAACTTGTCTTCCTGCAGGAAGCCCCAAGCACCAGGAAACTATGTCCTTGTATTTTCTATTGGTCTGGGGTAGCTGAGCTAACTTCACGTTAGCAGAGGGATTACTAGTAAGACAGAGAGGAGAGCAGCTTTAAACAATGGTGGGAACCCTGTGTAGATGTATGGTAACACTGCAGAATGTCCAGACTTCACCAGGTGATGTGTGTGTCTAATACCCCAGTGGCATTTAAATTACAATTCACAGTTGTCTTCAATACTTTAAAATGAACATTCTTTTAATATTTTAAAGGGTTTTGTTTACAACTCTCAAGATTCTCGAGTTTTAAAAAATAATTTAAAATAGTGTAAATTCCATTTATTTAAATTTAATGCTTCTACCAAAAAACCCCCCATCAACCAACCACTGCATTTGTAAATGACAAAGAAAAAAAACAATTCAAGAAAAAAGAAGGTGAAGAATTGTTGATGAGTTACCTCTGCAACATCTTCAGCACTTTGTCCCAGGCTCTGGAAAATTTGTTTGTAATTTTTAAGGTAAATATTAGTAAACATCTCAGCTGTTTCCTTATCTGCAGCTGAAAGATCCATTTTCATTCCATCTTCAAACACTTTTCTTTCAAACTCTGTAATCACTGGGCCTGGTTCAATCAAACTTAATCTGTTCAAAAAGCAAAGATATCCTGGTTATTGATTGTTCTCCATGGGAAATGCACCTCTGTCCTTCTCAAAAAGGAATACTAAAGAGTTGCGCTGTGAGTACATGCTGGCAAGCAATATGGAACAGTACATTCTGTGAAGGCAATCCATACCGCATTATTGCTCCTACCCATCCACATACAGTAGTAGAAATCTGCGTAGCTTAAATTTCAGGGAAGTGCTGTAACTTAATTCACGGCAGAAGTAAGCCCAGTTGTTAACCTGCTGTCACAGCTGTGGAATCTAAGGATGATTTATCCACAAGAACTTATATTAAGAAAAATAATTAAAGGATGACAACAAAATTCATTACTTTCTGGACAAAATCCTACACAGATTTCTTTGTTATAGCTTTCCCATGATAATACTAGAAGTAGCTGAAAGAGGGGAGAATTACTGAAACACGGATTTTTCTTCGTTGAGCTGTCAGTATTACATAATTCAAGATCCCTCCATAATATTATAATAAAATACAATATAGAGAATTTTGCTGTGGGTGGACAGATATAGGCTCCTGCCAGATCAGGACAATTATTTTGCTCAGTAGCATATTATAGCAGATCACTGAAATACAGTTTACTGGTCAGTTCTTTCCCGGTTCTTTTCTCAGGCAGTACTTACTCCCAGCCACTACATTTATCAAAACACTCTTTGGGATAGGACCTCTTCCTGGACTTGAGTTCTCATGAGGCTCTTCTTTAGAACTAAATCAAGCTATTGACCTTGACAGCAGAATTCCAGCTGCTGCTAGAATTAAAGCCTTTTCTCTTGCATCACTCTTCACACTAGATCCGGAACTTCTCACATTCTACTCTCTTTTTTTTTAACCTCCTTTTTGCTTTATCTTATACTCTTGAAATCTTATTATGAATTCTGGTATATCCTGTGTATCATTACAACATAATTATTTTAAATCCCTCTGAACTTTTCATAGCAGTATGCAAAATAACAGTTCGGATGCCGCTTTGTCTCTGAAATCCCGTAACAGCAGCTGTCTTCTCCCATGGCACAAGGGGTAATGCTTAGGCACAGAGATGGAATAGATATTTAACAATTGTTGGACTTCGTACAAAGAATAGTATCAGAATTACACGAATACGAGTATACATGTGACAAATCAAACCCCAAAGTCCCATGATGAAGATGATGAAGAGGACTTAGTCTTAAATATGGAGAACTAGTACACCACATTCTTCTCACTTTCCTCCTACCTCCTGTCATTGTAGGTATCTTGCTCTATGTTCCATTCTGATGGATTTCTGCTTGCTCTCTCTCTATGATGAGCCCTTGAACTTTATCTGTGAATTACCTCACACGTTTGTTATCCTTTCTAAAGGAAGATACTACAGGTTGACATAGTTTTATTGCTGTCACACTGTATGCAAGAATCTGTTTTCAGAAGTGTTACATGAACTGTATTTTATCCAAAGCTAAACAGCCTGTAACTGTTCAAGAGAATATGTTTATTTTAGCATCTGTATCTTTTTATTTGTTCACGTAGTGGGAAGAATGTGGACATTTCTATGTCTTTTGTGATGTAAGATCTCCATGGGTTCCTCAGTCTATTTCTCCAAGACAGAAGCAAGTTTTAAAAATCTGTTTGATAGCTCTGAATCTATTTAAAACTATCCAAAATATAATTTACACCCATGGATCAATACTTACTGCAATTTGAACTTGAGTGCTTGTATAGCTAAACTTTCGCAGAATCCTTCCACAGCAAACTTAGATGCAGCATAAACATCATTAAATAAGATACCTGATGGTACAAACAAAACATCCTGAGAATGTGATTGTATTCAACATACTAATAGTTTAGTTTTTAAAACACTTCTATTTTCTGAAAATTTCTATAGTCTTGCTGGGAAAACATTAGAAAAAACCTTGTGTATACTGAATCTAAGTACTGATTTTTTTGCCTGTATTCTCAGAATTGTTTATTCTAGGAAAGGATGCTTGACTATGGCTTTTTCTCCTCCTAGCTGATCCTGTGATCTCTTTGGATGATAATAAATATTTCGTAGTCTAAGATATTAAAGCATCTGTGCATGCAATACTATTTGAATTATTTATCAGCAAGACTTCAATAGATACAGATGAACACAGAAGCTGAGTGCAAAGCAGGAGATACGATTATGCAGGAGATAAGACTATGTAAGAGATCCAGTTGAGTGATTTAGAGAACACACTACATCAATCCAGATGTAGGTGGATGGTAGGTATTGTATTAAACAACAACTCTTGCAGTTTGACTTAGGACCCTTGCTCACCACAATAATCCAGCTAAGATCAATGCCACTGTTGCAATAATTGAAACAAATACAGCCGGATTGAAAACAAGAATAGGAGCATCATTATCTGTCGCTAAAATTAGATTCTGTGGAGTTTTATGAGAGGAAAAACTTTACAAAAAGGCGGTACAGTTGTCCAGGACATGACTGGATTTTATTCCATTGTTATTGTGCAGAGTGTAGTAAGCACGTTTGCCCACTCCTATTATATTTTCCAATAGGAAAGAGAAAATTAATGCTACAAAGCCCTGTTTTCCAGATAATAAAAATAATAAAATTTTTAAAAATAAATACAAGTGACTAGAGTTTGAGTTAACACCGTTAAAAAAATATTTCACTCTGCAGGTTGTGCTGTTCAAATGTCTTGAGAGTAGTTGTAAGGTAACATACTACCTAGATGCATAAAAAACATGTCCAAGTGCTGTACTTTTTATAGTTGGAACTTCATCCCTACAAAGCACAATATTTAGACATACCAGCTCCTACTTTTTTTTAGATAAAAAAGGCAAGCTTTAGATTTTGAATACTGAACTCTTAGTTCAAACAAACAAAAAAACCCAAAACAAAACAAAACTTTGCCTTGTATTCCCATAACACTGCTTATTATAACTATATGCCCGCTCTTTCTCCTCTTCATGTCAGGCAAAATCTCCTTCAGGAGTCGAACCAGTCCAAAGAAGTTGGTATCCATCACAGTTTTCATTTCGTCTATGGTCTGACATTCAATAGGTCCAATGAGCCCCATTCCAGCATTGCTAACTGCACAAAATGAAAAACAATGGTGAGCAATAACCTCCATAAACATTAACTTGTAATCTTTACTGGAAAGCATTTTAAAGTAAAGTGAGGATTAAGGATTAACTGAGCCTTAAATGATCCTTAAAGAAAGGATTAAAAGATGTTATTCTGTCACTAAAGCTTTGCAAATACACTTGAAATTTTAATTATGATTTTAATCTAATTTAAATTATCCGATATTTTGCATTTTAACTAATTTCTTTCTGATTAGTCCTTTTTTCTTTAAATTACAAAAGAATTACAGGAAAATGAGCCAAAAATGATCTATATTTGTTTATAGTTTAGTATTAAGAAACAGAGGCTACGTTAATACCCCTAGGGCCAAAGAGAAGTCTTCAATTTATTCCAAAAGTTTATAGACCAGGCCATATTTTGGTTTGCTTTTTATTTTTCAACATTCACATCTTCAAGAAAACAGAACAAAGCAAAACACACTTCCATTGATTTCTAGTTGCCTCCTGGATATTTATGAGTGGGGAATGATTGATAGAATTGTTATTCTGCACTACAACTAGTGTGTCAAATTAGAGTATAATACAGTTTGCAGAAGAAGCTTGTTAAGCAGTGCTTTAATAATCAAAATAAAGGCAGGTTCATCATTTTCTATTAGAGAAGATTTAATAGTTGATGGTGTAAGCAATTTCCATCCTACTAATATATTAATATTTATTTTTAGCAAAACAGTACAAAAACACTTACTGTTGAATGATTTGTAAAGTACAATTACAATTTTCAACACAAAATTAAAGTACCCTTGCCTTCTTTGCCTATGTTCTTTTACTTGCTAAGTCCCAAATGCTGTTGCTTTCTTAGTACAGAGAGCTGTTGCCTTCATTGGAAATAGGGCTATGCTTCATCGACAGGGCATAAAGTCTCGTATATGAGGATGCCGATTTAGGCCAAAGTTCTCTCACATTTACTAAAAACTGGATCATCTTATCCAAGACACTTCTCTGTGATCAAGTTTCTCCTTTGTAAACAGGGAAAACAAGCATCCCTACTCCATGGAAGCACGGTGAGATTTAATCCACTCATTTCTACACAAAGCCTTAAGAATCTCGAACAGAATACACTACATAATAATTATTACTTTGATAATTTAAAAAATACACTAATGAAACTTCTCCAGGGTATCTGAGAACAAGCTAAATAGAAAACTGTTAATCTGTTCATAGCATACACATCTGGTACTTGCCTAGGACATCAATTCTTCTGTCAGGGATACTATTCACACAAGTTTTAATTGACTGTTCATCACAGACATCCAGTTGTTTAATTTCAAGGGTTTTGCCCAGCCTGCGACCCACAGCTTCCTCAAGTGGCTCTTTCTTGGCCAGATTCCGCATTGTGGCATACACTGCAACACACCAGAAGCAACAGTTGTCAGAAATGAAACTCCTGTGTCAGTCTTACTGAGAAGTATTAAAGAATATTGCTTCTACATCTGTTATCTTAGATATCAGTGATAGAACCCAGATAAAAACTTAAAGTACAAAGAATCATTTTCAACATACATTGGCACTGATTTCCCAGAGTCTAGTTCTGAAATCTTCAAGAAATTCAAAAGGAGAATTACCGCTATGCACATGAAGAACATGCAGCATATGAAGATAATGTTATCACCAAAGCTTTAAATAATAGGTATACAAGTTACACCCCGAACCATTTTTTTGGTACCTAAAACCTAATTTTGGATTCCAGATATCCTTTTTTTTTTCCTCTCAAATCACCATCAACATGTTTAGCAGAACAAATATAATTGTGTTAAAAATTGGAAGCCAGATGCTTCCTTACATTGCAAAAGTGTCTGTTTTTGAAAGCTACTTCTCAAAATAGAAATTAGTTTTATCATTATTATGGCCTAATTACGCAGAAAACTGTGAATCTGCATGCAGTCAGTTAGCAGTAAAATACTGTAAGTATGAGAAACCAAATTACCACAGATTGCTGTATTTGCCTTGCTATCCATTTTCAATCATAGCAAATATCCCATTTTGCAGCAGAAAGACAAATCCCAGCCCCTTTTGTTTGCCCTTTTAGGCCTACAGAGGGTTGGAATTTCTTTGGTCCTCAAATGGGCATGTAAGTTTAATTCAACAAAGATTTTTAGTAGCCAGAAACAAAGCTAACTATAACTGTGAAGGTATATCCAAGGTGTCATACTGCAGATATTTTCACCCATTTCTTTGTATACTACTGTCTTTTTCTTTATTTTGGTAAACTATTCAGTTCAAGTATCTGTTCAGCTTCAATACATGTACAGAAATAGCATCTACTTACAGAAAGCAGTCTATTTTCACTGTATTGTATTTTCATGACAGTAGGAGGACAGAAACTAATAAGAAACAAGTCACCAAACTGAATACGGTCACCTGTTAATTACAGATGGAAAAAAATAGTGCTGCATTGCAGAATATCTTTTTGTAAAGATAAAGAACAGATACATTGTTACCTTTAAATCTTTTCTGTTCATCTTTTGCCATTTTTACAGCTAAGGCCAGTCCAATCCCTGAGGAGCAACCTGTAATGAGGACATTTCTTCTCGCCATTCTCTGGGTGGTTCAAGCAAGAGTTCCTGTTCAGAGGAGCAACAGCCTAAATGTAGCTACGGTATAATGTCATTGGCCTTTAATGCTGTCTCCAGCTTTCCTGAGTCAACAAATCTGAAAATGCACACCTGGACCCTGCACGATTAAGAGATAATCTCCAACTAGACAAAAGCAGAAGCAGATGCTCCTGCATGAGCTTATAATCTGTATTATCAACGTGGACTATATTTAATACACAATTTGATTAATCTTTAAAATGAGAAATTTGTAAGCTACATGGATTTTTTAATAGTGGAATAATCAGTTTGCATAGTACTGGCACAAAAAGTCTTACAACAATTAGAATCAGTTTGTACTGTCAAGTTCTCCAGTCATACCTATGGAAAGTAAACTGCACCCAGAATGGGATCCCTCTGCTGAAGGCGTTCAGACTTCCTACACTTACAGCACCCTTCTCATTCTTTTGCAACAGAATGACAAATGGATTTCTTCCCTAACACCTTACTATTATAAGAGTCCTAATGGGCTTTACAGAAAAAGTAAATTGAAAAATGGGATGTGCATTTGGAAAGAGACAAGTTGTTAGACAGATTCCTCACATTTCTTTCTGGCACTGTTCCCAACCAAGAATAGAAACAGCAAACAAGTATGCCAGCAGCGGAGAACAGCTAGGACCAGCTTCACTGCATCCTTGCTAACACTGAAATCTCTTTGAACACTTTCTATTCTCCAGCCGACAAGTTGAAAAAAAAAATCAGAACTAGCATGATGTCTGAAGTTTTGGAGAAAAACAACTTTGCATATAAACTCTTAATTAAACAGAGGGACATTTGGACTGGCACTTTGGTGCAATTTGCATTTAACATACAGTAACTGTAGGCATCCTACATTCAGAAAGAAAATCAGTCTCTTGTGAAATTTGTAACCCATCCTGAGTAACAGAAAGAGAATCACCTTAATAAGCAATTAGCCTTTCAAACAGCATTCAGCTAATTGGAATGCCATTATACACAGAACCAAGATTGAATAACTCCATGTTACCACAATGCAGTTCAGAGGAATGAACGTAGTGTTGCAGGATTTGCATAGATGTAAATTGGTCAGTAACTCAATAAAAGGAGGACTCCACAGAAACATTTAACTGAAATTATAATGTTAGAAAAAAAAATCCCTCCTTCCTACAAATAAATGTGTTTGAACAGTATAACAAGTGGAGTCATTAACTTCTCAGGCAAGCAACAAAATAGCAGCAAGACAGCATCTCAAGTTAAAGAGAAAATGTAATTACAATTCTACTTATCCATCAGGTTTGACCCACAGTTTACCAGAGAAGTTAGTATCCAGATACACAATTTTAGTGCAAGTGCTATTTAGCTGATTCAGATATTAGGCAAATTGCTTTTGCTGCTCAGGCACATTTATATTTAGTGCATGTAGGAGGAGCAAGCAAGGCTTTATGCAACAGTAACGTATAGTGTAATTCCACTGGTGGTGTGATGCAACTGTAGTTACAGATTGGTTATATTTTCCACTTGAAATCCTGGTTTGAAGGGCTTACATGTTCCTTTGCTTTAAAAAAAAAA